AAAGAAGGCTTCGAGTGGTGTGCCAGCCTCTGGAGCTGATAGGAAGTGGAGTCTTTCCCCACCCACCCACCCCTTTTCTTTCGAAGGTGGGGGAAAGGAGAGGACTGACTCAAGTATCCGGTAGAAGTGTAGCTGTATGTGAGGCGAAGAAAATGGTACGCTACCATATTAGGGACTAATCCATCTGAGACTATTGTGTGCAGTAACATTGGTTCCCTCTAACGCAGGAGAGAGCATCCTCAGTTAGTTGCTGTTTGGAGGGAAGAGAGAGAGACTATTTATTGGCAGACAGGCAGAGGCAAGATAGAAAGGCCGCAGAAACGTGTCTGCGGCAAAGGTGCTCTCTGCCAGTTTGGCATCTCTCTCTTCCCTCGGGCTTACGAAAAATAATAATAAACGCAATTCGAAAGAAACCAATAAATGGATCATTTTTCGAAACACACAACAAAGCGTGCCACCGCAGTCTCAGTCAAGCACAGAACGATCACCCGCACAGCCATACAACAAAATGCTTAAACCTGCACTGTTGACTTCTTCAAAACAGGGTTGATGCAAAGCGGGCTTCCTGCTGCTCTCATGAGGCATGCAAACATTTCGTTCCTCGTCCTTCGGAGTACACGTCAAGGGAAAAGGACCGTTGCCACAAGCACAAGGTCACTTGATTGAGCAAGCAAGCGATTCCGACGATTCTGAAGATTTGTATCTTGCCGCCGGCCTTTTTTCGTGCTCGCCAGGAGCCAATATCCCGACTGCATCCTGTGCCCGAGGGTTTTGAACTCCCCTTGACTCTGCTACCATTTCACCCGCGAAAAACAATCTTCTATACTATCAAAACTAAGACTGACTATCGATCGCCAAGAAAGCAAAAATGCGTCAAGTTCCAAACTCTTGTGTACCTGGGAGCAGGTCAATTCTGCTCTTGTAGCCCTCGGCTACAAGAACCTCATCACATGTCAAATTTACTAGAAAAATGTTCCGCAACAGAGCAAAGTAATACAAATCAATTATTTAATTGTTTTTGTTTAGGGTTCGGGGTGTATTATTATCATTTATTTTTAGGTTTTGGGGAGACAATATTAATGTACCTCGAGGTAAGTTTTCTTCTCAAAAGGAAAAAAAGGCCGATCCAAGGCTTGGTGGGTCACAACATGCTTCAATGAACGTTTTTGGCTCGTGTGCGACCAATCAAACACCAAGTCTGCAGCGGACGTGTGTGACCGCACGCCATTGGCTGCAGTTTGTGCATGTCTTTTGCCAAGGCCTCTCTCCGGCATTAGCTGATGTGGACTGATCACTCGCGGCAACCAGAAAAAAAAAAAAAGGCAACGTCCAAAAAAGTCAACACAGGAACACACTTTCGGTTCACGTCGCAGGCCGTGCGCGATGCGCGATCAACATTGGAAAATACGCGCTGTTTTTGGTGAGCGTATGTGTATGGCCACACGCCATTAGCTGCATTTTGTGGGTGTCGACGGCCTAACGCCTCTCTTACCACATGCAGCAGCACAACGTGATACATGCAGCCGCACAAAAACAGTAATTTTTTCCCCCGCCAGCCGACAACATTATTAACGTGCGTAACACACTAATTAACGACTTCGTCTCGTATCTAACCTCTGTTATCGCTCCCCCCATTCCCCCCAGAGACGCGACAGCCGTGAAACTCTCCTTCGCTCTCTCCTCCTACAACCTTTCGTAGGGCCGATCGACACCACGACAAAAGGCTTGCACGCGTGCGTCTTTCGTGGCGGCGGCGTGTTGAACAAATAAAGAAACAATGACAATAGAATTGCATGTGTAGAAAAATGTGGGTCGGTCTATAGCAGCAGTCACGAGTTGTTGACAGAGGTAAGAATCCAAAGGGGTGTGGTTAGCTAGGTTTGCGGCTACCGTGGATGAGCAGGAAGCTGTGCTTGGCGAAAGGCCGCCAAAGCCAAAATGGCCAACGTGGGTCAGGCGCAGGTCCTGGAGCTGTCCATAATGAAAGGTCACCTGAAGCCGAACGGTCAAAACAAGCCTCTTTCGCCACCTCGAAAACACAAGAGACATCCTGGACGTGCCGCGAGCGCTGGATTCTCATCATCCGAGACTCATTAACGCCCGAGTCCAATTGAAACACCGTCAAGACACGAGCAACGCACGCGAAGGAAAGCCGGCGAATCACGAGCGTGGTGCCCAGAGGCAAAAGGACCCCCCATCATGAGAGGTGATACAACATGTAATCCTTGTTCTCCTCGATTGCATGCACGTTCGGCTCGGCGCATCTAACCTGGAGAGGTTTCACTCACATGCCCGGCTGAAGGGTCGACGGAGGTATGGTGTACATCATCGCCTCCGCCGCGATTCCTTCGCCACCACCCTCCTCCCGCGTTGCGCAAACAAACAACCGTCTCCGGCCTCCAAATGTACCAACGGCCTCCTGAGCGTGGCGGTTGACTCTCGAAATCATGGGTTCGAGTACGTGTGGAGGTCTCTTTTTTTCCCACGACATTTATTTTTTTCGGATTCCACCACATTGATTGGCGCCCCCCACACCTCATTCAACACATTGTAATACTCTGCTGCTGTGTAAACGGGCCAATGGTAGCAACGCACGAGTCTATCCAGGTATGTTTTTCAACAATAAATTATCCCACCTCCCGATCTAGTAATCTTTCCGACAGCCGGGGAGATACAGCAGTAGATGCGCTTCGCGCCACGGAGAATTGCTATCTAGGAACGCAAGGAAATTTCCCGCGAAATGTGCCGAGGATTCGGATCTTCAGTTTCGCTGGAGGGTGGGTGTGGCACGCACACACCTGCCAGTTCACCTCCTTCCCACCCACCAACAAGCAAACAGCTGGCTGTGTGAGACAACGCCAAGCTCTACAAGGTACATATGTTTGTGTGTTGAGGGGGCGTTCTTACCCGTGTGGGCACGCCAGAACCTGCGTCAAGGCCAGCAGCCGCCTCCCAAGTTCAGAGGCACAATCACGGCCACGCATGTTCTCCCGTCGCCTGCCGTCGATGAATCTAGACTACAACAGCAGTATCGCCGTTGTTGTCGCAGTCCTGTCTCCCTCGCTCCTTTTTCATCGGGAGAGGGAATAGGCAGAGGTGCCGGTTGATCACTTGGACCAGGTCTGCTCCTTCGTACCGCCCCCTTTTCCTTCGCAGTGAGACAGACCTCTTCTCCTTCGCCCCCCGTCGTTCTCGTCGAACAATCGCTGCTCTTTACGTACTACCTCTACGCATTCACAAGGAACAATCGTGCGCATCACCCATCTCTACTTTCCCCCCGCCACCGCCAAACACACAGGAAAGCAGCACCAGCCCAGCACCTGCACCGACACCAGAACCAGCGCCAGCACTATCACCAGCATCAGCACCAGCATCAGCATCAGCACCAGAAGAGAGCAAGAGCGAGAGCGAGAGCAAGAGCAACCAACAGGTGGGGGTCGAAATGGTTGGACTGCCTGATCTGACGAAAAGACTTTCTTCGATTTCTTGCCCCGCGATCGAGCGCTCGCTCCAACTAAAAAAAGCCACTGCTATATACCGGTCGCCCCGGTGGTCTAGTGGGTAGCCTCGCAGCCTGCTAAGGGCCAGGTCATGGGTTCGAGTCCCGGCAGGGAGAGTTTTTTTCTCACGAAATAAATCCTGGTCTAGGACGAAAGCGACGCGCTGCATAGCTCGTTTGTTAGTAAACCACAATCGACTTCGTAAGTCGCGAGGGAAGGGATTGCTGTACCCTTCTCGCGATAAAAATACCTCAGGCATGAACCGCAGGAGGGGGTCCAACCCCTCCCTCCTATGTGACCCCGATTGGGTCGTCTAGCTAGTAGAAGTGGAGGATAGGGGCCAGAGGGGCAGACGACAGAGTCCAATGATGGGAGAAGAAAAAAAAAAAAACTAGTAGTCTACAAGTCGCATGTTACCTGTTATGTGTACCGCTGCTCCACCATGTTGTGGACTGCTCCTCCCGGATGGCACTACAAGTGCGCACCAATACAAGGAGGTTTCCACAATACCCAGTACCCACAACACCCGACCTACTCGTGGAAGCTGTCCCTGATCAGCCCCAATCCCCTCCGAAAAAGTACATCTTGCCCATGGCCGAGGCAGGGGGGGCTGAACATACAGACACATGACGGCAGTTCCTTTGTTTATGATCTCGACGTTATCGTGTGTCCAGAAGGCGAGGTGATTTTTGAGTCAGCCACCCTATTCTACTGCTGCTGCTTGTTCTTTCTGCCCTCTCCTGGTGGACATATATATGTTTTCTGTTTGCGTCGGTCGGTATCCGCACCCATCCGCGTTCCTTGAATGTAGGTGTACAAGGATCGCTGCTGGAAGAATAATCTTTTCTTGTAGATGGAGGTGAATTCGTTGGGTCATATTCTGGCACCAGTGCTGTGAGCGCTGATTTTTAGCGAAGATAAAAAAAAAAAAAAAAACTGATGGCTCCGGCATTTTTGGGACCACGAACTCGAGCTTTTTCTGCTAGATTGTGGGATTAGCAATTGAAGACAACAACAACGACAATTTGCAGTCGACATGAAAACAACAACAAAAATGTTGCTGCACAGACGGTCGTCGAGCAGCGCGGGGAATTCTGCATGCAGTGGCGACCTCGCTCTTATCTTCACGTCCACAACTCTTCCGTGGCGGGGGGTGCACCACCCCGATCACTGTACATCGCTTCCATTACTTTTCTTCCCCAGTTGCTGACGTCTGGCTTAAGCCACAAGCCCCCATGGCTGTCGTATCTATCAAGTGGCGGAGAAAATATACGGAGATACTTGCCCCGTTTATATTTCTCTCTGAAGACATGCACCAACCAGCTCGGGAATAAAGCTTGCTGTTTTCCGTTCCCCCCCCGTTCGCTACGTGCGTTTTTGTGCCTCCTCTGTGTCATCGGCCAGCTTCCAACCAAGCTTAGGAGGTGCCAAGTGCCGGCGAAACACCTGAATACAGGGAGAGAACGCGCCCATTCCATCCTTCTACTACTGCTGCTGTGTCAACGAGAGAAGAGAGAGGTGGCGACCTGATGGATCCGACTACTACCGCCAAGCTTGCGACAACGGCATGCAAGCACAGGAAAGACGGACAGAAATTCCTGACCGCGGTGCTGGAGACCAGCCAAGGCATCGACGTCTCGGTGGACTCCGAAGAGCTCGCCGGGCACGTCGACGAACACTTCGACGGCCACGCGGAGGCGGGGAAGGCCATCGTAGAGGGGTTTAAGAGGGTAAATTATGTCGTTGTTGTTGCTGCTGCTGCTGCTGGCTGCTGGTTGGTTGCTGGTTGCTGTTAGTTTTCGTTTCCGATTATACTCATCCTGTAGGCCATCCAAGTCGCCACAACATCACGTACGTAAACTCTCAACAACCATCGAAAGGCGCGCACCACGCCCCCCATTATTCCGACCCGTTCAGGCACACGGCGGCCGACGCTCGAGACAGACTGGGAGCGCCCGAGAAACGTTGCACCTACACTGTGCTCAAACGCCCCCCCTTGCGCCCATCGGGCCCCACGAGCCCTGCTTCAGAAATAAATGTGATAAGGCTCAGACAGTGAACGCATCAGCAGATGACTGCGACGACAATACTGACTCAATTGTCTATTGGATGCTCTAGCCCCGGAACTACTCTGATGATGAAAACTGGCCCTTATTCCGCCACTTCCCTCAATCATTCATTCCGTCCACCCGCCCCATCCCGTCAATCCGATCTCACAATCAATTCTTTTATTCGCAGGTTTCTGAACACATCTCCGACGACGGGGAGAACGTAGACGACGGTATCCTGGAAGATTCAGCGGAAGCAATCGTCGGCGCGGTGGAGAGTGTGGCGAACAACGAGATAGTCCAGAATGCCGGGGAGGTGGTCGGGGATGCGGTGGGCGTCGTGCACGACGCTCTTCGAGAGGGTGTCAAGACGGGGACGGAGGTCGTCCACGGAGCAGCCCGCGCCATGAACCAAGCAAGCGGGGTTACCTCTCGAGGCATGCCTGACATCGAGGGCGTCGAAGAACGTGCCGAGAGTTTCGCCGATTCGATGGAAACCCAAGCCGAAGGGCTTGNGCGCTGTATCCTGCTAAGGGTGTACGGCATCTTGTGCTTACTTCCTTGCATAAGGATGACAGCTGCGTATGACTNCGAGAGGGTGTCAAGACGGGGACGGAGGTCGTCCACGGAGCAGCCCGCGCCATGAACCAAGCAAGCGGGGTTACCTCTCGAGGCATGCCTGACATCGAGGGCGTCGAAGAACGTGCCGAGAGTTTCGCCGATTCGATGGAAACCCAAGCCGAAGGGCTTGCTGACTCTGCCGCGGAGGCCTTCGACCGGGCCCGGGAAAACGCCCCAGACGTCCTCGGAGCTGTCGACCCTGACGGAACGCTGGAAGAGGTGGTCGAAGAAGTGACCCAAGAAGCAGGGGAAGCCGTGGTGGAAAGCTTGGGGGGAGAAGTAGCAGAAGAGTTGTTGGAGGCGGCAGCCGGAAGTATTCCCGTCGCGGGTGCCCTAATCCCCTCGTACTACCTGATGCACGGGGGTGTGAAGGCCGCCGTCGGAGTAACCAGCCTGGCAGCGGCAGGCACGATGACTTTGGTTGGAGGGGTGTACGGCATCGCGGCCGCGCCGTTCGNCCCCGCACAACATGATCTACTCGACCACCAATATGGTTGCCGCCAAAAAAAAAACAGTGGTAAAA